CTCTTCTCCTTCTGGAACCCCTATAATGTAAATGTTTGTTTACTTGATGACCAAAAGCTCCCCTAACCTATCATTTTAAAAGATTATTTTTTCTTCTTGTTGTTCAGGTTGGGTGCTTTCCATTACCCTGTCTTCCAAATTGCTCATCCATTCTTCTGCATCCACTCATCTCCTATTGATTCCCTCTAGTGTATTTTTCATTTCTGTTATTGTATTCTTCAACCTTCAAGTTCTTTTTTATACATTTTTTTTTTATCTTTGTCAAAGTTCTCATTTTGTTCTTATACTCTTCTCCAGTCTGGTGAGCATTTTTACAATCATTATTTTAAACTCTTTATCAGATATATTGGTTTATCCCTGTTTCCTTTAGTGTTTTGGGGTTTTGTCTTGTTCTTTCATTTGAGCATATTCTTGTGTCTCCTTGTTTTGCTTGACTTTGTTTCTATGAATTAGGTAGAACAGCTGCTTCTCCTAAACTTGAAGGAATGGTCTTGTGTATGGTCACCTGCTGTGCAGATTGTGTGCCTGGTAACTTTGGCTGGTAACCTGGTAACTTTGGCTGCTTGGAGCTGTGACTGGCATGAGGGTCCCTGGACACTGCTGGGGCTGCCTTGGGTGGGATGGCCAGAACTGAAGTGGGCATGGGCTAGGGTAATCCTGGGACTCTGTACAGTGTCCTGGCAGGTCAGCTGAAGCTGAAGTAGGTACAAGTTCAGAGGCCTTCTGTGCAGAGGGCACCCTGGCAGGACAGCTAATGCTAAAGTGGGCATTGGCTGGGGCAGTTTCTGGGTTCTCTGTGTAGGAGGCATTTTGGCAAAATAGTTGAAGCTGAAGTGGGTGCAACCCAGGTTGTCCCAGGGGTTTCTACACACAGGGCATGCTGGCAGATCAGCTGGACCCAAGGCGAGGCCTAGGCCAGGAAATCCTGGGGCATGCATCACAGGACCACTGCAGTGGGGGAGCCGAAGCTGAGGTGGGGCACAAACTTGGAGGGTCTTGGGGCATTCCACACAGGGGGAACCCTGACAGTACAGCTGAAGCTAAAGTGGGTGTAAGCCCCAAGTGTGCTCAGCAGTGGGGGTCCCCTAGCAGAGTGATTGGAGCCAAGGCCGAGGCTCATTAGGGTGTCCCAGGACAAGGTGCATAAGGGGCACCTTGGTGGGATGGCTGAAGCAGCTGTGAGTCAGGAAGTCCTGGAGTGCCCTCTGCCAGAGGTGCCTTAGGCAGCCACCTGGAGCCAAAGGGGTATGGGCCTGGAAAGTTCTGAGGAGGCTTGTGCTTGTTGTATGCACCTTGGTCTAACAGTGGAGCTACAGTGAGCATTTACTAAGACTCTCCCAGCGTTTGTCACACTGGGGCCACCTTGGTGGGACAGCTAGGGCTGATAGGGGACAGGGACTGGGGGCTCCCTGAGGGGGAGGCCAGCTATGGCACCTGACATTGTTCCCATCCATACTATGAAGGTGGAAGGGGAATGTAAACCACGGTGCTCACCAGCCCCTTGGACCTGGAGAGTTCCAGCAGCTCCCTTGCCATTTGGCAGCATTCTAGGGCTAGTTCCTTTATATTCTATTTGCTCTTTTGAGCTGTTGCTTTTTTTGTGCCCCAGGGCTCACAGATCTGCTCACAGTCCTTCAGTACTTATGCCATGTGTGTCCTGAGTGGGGAATTCCCTTCATTATTGTCTCTCTCCTGCCATTCTCTATTTGGTCTTCCATTGTGTAGCTTAGCCCTCAGTTCTTCAGGAGGAATTGCTTCACACCTACGCTTACATAGGTGATTTGGTGTGTGGAGGAGGTGAGTCCAGGATCTTCCTATGTAGCCATCTTGGGCGAGAGTCCTGATTATCTTTTTCATTGATAAGGAGTTAATTTATATAATCTGGATAGAATTGATCAGATACATTATTGCAAACTTTGGGGGTTGCCCTCTGACTCTACTTGTGTACTTAGATGATAAAATTTCCTAATATAGCCCAGTTAATTATCTTCCTTTATGATCAGTACTTTTTGGGGTCTTTACCAAATCGTTGTTTACCACAAAGGAAGCTCTCCTCCTACACTATCTTCTAGAAGCTTTCTTTCTTAGTTATGATAATCCGGAATTGATTTTTGTGCATGATGTGATCAAGATTTTTCCCTCTTTGGATGTTCATATTGACTCCACACATTTACTAAAAAGAGCACCTTTTCCTTATTGCATTAATGATCATCAACTAGATAGACGAAACACAAACTTTTAAACGATAGCTTTATTTGACACATACAGAGCAAGCACCAGCAGGGGGAGCAGCAGAGGGAGGGAGAAGCAGGCTCCCTAGAGCTGGGAGCCGAAGGTAGGGCTGGATCTCAGGACCCTGAGATCATGACCTGAGCCACTCAGGTGCCCTTATTTCTTAACACTATCCCATTGGTCTATGTGAATATTCTTGGGCTAGTAGGATCACTTATGGTACCTCTATAACAAGTATTGATCACTAGTGGTATAGTCTTCTAACTTCACTAGCGTGCTTTACCATGGTCTTTGCTATTTTTGGCTCTCTATACTTCCATGTGAATTGTTAGCCCCCCTACCTTATGCCCTCACTCCAAACTATTAGGATTTTGATAGATTACATTCAATCTACATCAGTTTGACAGGAATTAACATCTGAAAAAGTGTTCTAAACAATAAACATGTATATTATTCTATTCAGATCTTTTAAAAACTTCTCAGTGATATCTTGGTAGTTTTTCTGGGTAGAGAGAGCTCTTGCACATCTTTCATTAGACAAATTAGACTAATTTCTAGGTATCTGGTATTTAAGATGCATAGTATTTTAAAAGCTATCTTGTACAAAGCTACCTTATACAAATGATTTTGTACATTGACCTTACCTCTAGTAACACCACAAGACACTAATTAGAAAGGTTTTTTGCATATCCTTTTAGATTTTCTAAGTGGGAAATCACAGTGAATTAGTTTTATTTCTCCAATCAATTTCTATACTGTTGTGTGGTTGGGGTTTTTTTTTGGGGGGGGGGCTTGCATTTAAGGCTATAGATTTCTCTATAAGCAGTGCTTGACTGTACCCATGAATTTTAATGTTAAATTTTCGTAACAAAAAACGCTGCAAACTTGAAGAACCTTGAAAGGGACAATGCAGGGTATAGAATCAAGTGATGAGCATAACATTAAAGTGAATAGAGGGGTTGGAAGGTAAAGAAGTCCCTTGGAAACAAAGATGTTAGAGAAAATAAGAGAAATTCCAGAAAGAGGACAAAATGAGGAAGGGAAAAAACTATGAAAGAAGCAAAACACTACAGGACTTGAACTTTCCAGAATGAAAGGACAGGAGTAATTAGCAAAAATGGATTGGAGGGGGGGTGGGCGGAGAAGAAAATCTTATCACCAGGAAAATCAGGATTTTCTTTTGATTTCTGGAGTTTTCTAAAATTTTCAATCAATAGTACTTGTTTAATGGATTGCAAATCGAAACATTTCTCAAAGATAATTCTGAAGTGAGGCAAATTCTGAGGGAAAACTTTTCAACCTAACATTCTAGAACTAGCCAAACTATCAATGAAGGACTCGACATTTTCTTGTGAGATTTCAAAATTATACGTTAAGCACCTTTTCACACAAAGCACCTGGAAGATGGACTAACCAAAATGAGGGAATGAGCCAGAAAATATCAAGGACACAGATGACTGACTGGACATAAGAGAAGCAAAGGGAAGCCTCAGGAGGACTGCTATGCAGCACACTTAGCCAGTACCAAGTCACACTGGAAGAAAAGGAGGAGGGACCTCCCAAAAATGTATAGAGGGAAAAGAAAACAGTGCTAAGGGAACAGAATACCTGATTATAGTCAGACAAGTAAATAATAGAGAGGTTTTGCAATCCTGAGGAAAATGTATTAATTTCAGGAAGAATATAAGTTGCACAGGAAAGAAAAATATAATCCTCACACACTACTAGTTAGGACTTTAACTTAGCTAACCAGTGAATATAAACTTAACAACAAAAAAGAGATTACTATACTAGAAGGATGAAAAGGAAGAGGTAAAAGTAACTCATGGGTGAGTTAAAAGTACAAAATCCTCCTCTTCTATAACAGCAAGTTAACAGATAAATAAAGCCAATAAATATGTAACAGTACATCCATCTTTAAAAAGATGGAGGTAAATACTAGAAGAAACTGCTGAAAGAGCTGGAGAGAGAAGACTCCTAATTACTCAAAAAATTTTCAAACTATTTTTGGATAACTCACTTGGTCAATCTTTTTTCAGTGTCCAAAGAAATTCAGCCTCAGATTATTATCTAATTGCATTTAGAATAAAAGTCTTTTAGAAAACTTGGGAAAACTGTAGGCAAAAAACCAAGAACATATAATCACAACTGCAAAGGTCAAATATTTACAACACAAAACCCCTAAAAGTAGTTTAAACTATAAGCTTTAACGACATTCAATCATACTTTATAATTTTATTTTTGAGTCTCAATTAAAATACATTTAACTGAAACATTAACTATAGAATATAATGCAAGATATTTTTATTGAACATGATCAATACAAATACAGTAATTATACTCAAATCTAAGTACATTTTTAAATATATTAGATGTGCACAATAAAATTACCTACTTTACAGATGTACTTTTCATTTTATCAAATACAAGACTCACATGAGACCGTAACAAAACCTAATACTAAAAAACAACAACAACAACAACAACAACAACAAAAACCCTAATACTCTGTTCAAGTACCCAGGGACAAGGCTAAGCAGTCAATTAACCTTTTAAAAAACTATGAACCAGAACAAAGACTATTAAGGAATATTTTAAGACTGAATAGAATCCAGTGGCAAAGAAATTAAATAAGTTTTGGGGGAAAAACATAGATTAAAATTGACAATACAGTATATCTACCAGGTTCTAGGTTTTCTGTGCACATTCAGGTCAGTATGAACATCTTTAAAACATGAATATTGAGTTTAGTACAATTTTATAGTGTATCTAACTACAGTAAAAAAAAAAAAAAAAAAGACCCCTGATGAGAATGAAAGTTCCTATGTAAAACAAGCTGTTTCAGAAAATCAAAGAATCCAAATAAATACTGTAATGCAGTGTCTTAGAAAATACATTAAGTGCAGAATGTCCATAATTAGAAATGATAGCTAGCAGTATGATAATTGAAATGGTATGGCAATGTGAAATGCTACAAGGAATGAAAATGATATTTTTTTTACCTCAAAACCTAAAATAAAAATAAAGAGTGGTGAGCTCATTTCTTTTATGTTATGGAATTGCTACCTCCAAAATACTATTTCAATGCTTATTTTTGAATTGCCCATATTTGACTGGTACTCTGCTAGGTGCTATGTGTACACAGATGAGTAAAACAAGGTTCTCTGCAAAGAAAAAAACTTGGTCTAGGAAGTAGCCATTATATTCTTACAAATTTAATTAAATATACCTTTGGGAACTAAAGAAATTTTTTCCAAAAAGTTACCTTTCTAATTAAGAATGCTTATGTACATAGTCAAACTTTCAGAGACTCATATATATTTAGAAATTCTAAATTGCTATTTCAGTTGATGTGATCGATACCTTGTCTCAACCACCTGTGTATTTTTCCCCAACATACTTACACACAAATTTTTTTTAAAACAATTTCATCACCTATTCTTTCATACCTAGTCTTAGTAAAATATACAACAAACTGCATTTTAAATATGAATATCAAAGACCATTTTAACCAATCATATTTTACATCTGAAATGTCCTAAATTTTATAACACCATCAGTGTGTCAGAAATTATGGGAAAATACAGCCGTGACTGAACATGTGGGGCTGTTGCAATCACTCTTCATCATCTCTTTGAAGTGGTATCACCTGAATTTCTTTGGCTATCCTTTCTGCTAATGTTTTACTATTTGCAGCAATTATTCTTCGTGACATCAAGTCAAATGGCCCACCTAAAATCAAACCAAACATAATTCCTGTAAAATTAGTATAGCAATATATATGTACTATGGTCAGTCATAACACTTTAATATTAAAACTTTCAATTTTCTTAAAAAAAAAAAAGTAGTCACATAACCATAATGTTTAAGCTTTGGCAAGACACAAATGAGTTTTAAAAAACCTTTTAGTAAATATCAGGGTTTTTTGAGGGGTCGGGGTATGCCTCAATCATATCAGTCTAAAAAAATCCTCTAGTTTAAGGTTTTATTTAATATTATACTGTATGATAACTAATGAATTTAGTTTCATCTTCTTCTTTCTTATGTTCTTTTTCTATTCTTTTTGTTACTCTTATTTACCTCTTTCATGTTTGGGAATCTAATAGACAGGAAATTTGACTCCACAGCATTTTCATACCATTCTCCTTCTCATTTCCTTATTTCTTTGTTGCCTTTCTCCAAAATCACTGGTTAATACTTTTGGCCCAGGTTCACTCCTTCACTTTATAGAATTTCACCATCAGTTCAAAGCAAGAAGTTAACCTCTCTAGGTCCAAAGCAAAAGTAATGGTGGGGGAAGATCACTGTCAAATACCACCATAGTCGCCAAAGAGCTCTTGGTACAAACTTCAGATTCAGTGACCTTCTATAATTTTCTGATAGCTTCTCAAAAGTTCCCAATACTCATGTTTGAAGAGGCTTAGTCATAGATCATTAATCCCATATTACAATTAGCATCTTGCCTCTATCTCTCAAAATGTTACTCTGATTTTGCAGAAAATCACATGGCTTGTTTTTGTTTTGCCTTTAATATATATTACACTTAAATTCTTAAACATTAAAAAAAAAGCCACATGTAAAGGAAAATCCAACAGAAAGAAAAATGCTTTCTTGTCCCATAATTTTACCTGTCACATCCATTAGTACTCCACCAGCTTCAGTAACAATAATGCCAGCTCCTGCCATATCCCAACAGTGAATTCCCATTTCATAATATGCATCTGCAACTCCAGCTGCCACAAGGCACATATTAACAGCTGCAGTTCCAACACCTCGGATCCTAACAAATAACATTTAAAAATAAGATTAAAAAAAATTTCAAAAGGGCTCCTCCTTTATGTGTTGAATTAAGTTAAAGACCTAATTTTAAAATAAAAATACATAAAATCTAATTATATGGTACACTATACAGATGACAAAATTAATCCTCACAGAGTAATCATTTAGTAAGATAAACACTAAAATTTTCAGGAAAACAGAAGAAAATGCCATCATTCTTTTATAATGGCAGGCATGTATATTCATATTTGTCTCAACTCAGGGACTACAGACCCCATAATACAAGCAGTCTCTAAGAGGAGTAAAATATGTTATTATTGATCATTGCCATATATGTACACATCAGTATGTATGATTAGAGGGATAACAGCACACCTGGGTTCTGGTGATAGAGGCCTGCCTGCCTGAATAGAGTATTTCAGGTTTGTACCTCTTCCCTGGAAATAAATTAAGGTAACTATGGACACTACTTGATAGCCATTACAGTAATAACTGATTTATTTATACAATGTCAAATTATCTCCCAAGATACATATTACATGCATGCATTCATTTTATTGTGCTTTGTTTTATCACAAATCACAGATAATTCCATTTTTTACAAACTGAAGGTTTGTGGCAATCCTGCATCAGGTAAATCTATTGGTACTTTGTGTCTTGGTCACATTTTGGTAATTCTCATAATACTTCCAATTTTTTCATTATTTGTTATGATTGGTGATCAATGATCATGACATACTGAGAGCTCAGATGATTAGCATTTTTTTAGTAATGTTGATTTTTATTACTAAAAATTTTTAGACATAATCCTATTCTATACTTCATATACCATGGTATAATATAAACACAACTTACATGCACTGGAAAACCAAAAAAATTCATTTGATTTGCCTTGAGATAGTTGCTTTATTGTTGTAGTCTAGAACCAAACCTGCAGTATCTCTGAGGTATGCCTATATGTATAATGGAAAAGCATCTTTATAATGGTCTACCACTATCAAGTGATCTAACTTATTATTACCAATAATGGGACAACAAGGTATCAAGTACCTCCTCTTGCTTCTCTGGTATTCTGACAAAAATGTATAACTCTAATCTTGAGGAAACCAGAGAAATCCAAATCAAGACACATACTACAAAAATAATTGGCCTACATTTCTCAAAAACAGCAAGATCATAAAAGACAAAGCAACTGTTCCAGATTAAAGAAAAAGAAAATTGATGAGAAATGACAAATGCAATGTTTGATCCTGGATTGAATCTGAGATCATTTTTTTTTCAAAATCTGAATAAACTTTCTATATTAGGTAATATATTACTGTTAATTTCCTGATATTTTTTTTTTACAATTGTATTCTGGTTATGTTAGGGAGTATCCCCTTTATTAAAGGAACACACAAATATTTAAGAAAAAGCATTTATCATATCTGCAGTAATTTTCAACTGATTTTTACTCAAACTCCTTTTGTAATTCTTTAAACCTCTGAATATAAAGCAATGAGATCTGTTCACTGAAAAGGAAATAACAGGAGCTGGGGAGAACAGGAAGAGGGAGTGGGTAGGAGACTCCTAACCTCAACTCCTTCTACAGACACACCAAGATAACAGCTACATCTGTGCAAATCGCTCTGAAAAATGACCCAAAGTCTGGAAAAATGTCCTTCCAAAGTTAACTGTGAAAAGACCACATCAAAAAGGGTAGAAGGGGACAGAGATACAGCTGGGAACCAAATCCTCCAGTGAGACTAACCACAAATGAGAAGAACATCACAAGTGTGGAGAAATGAGATGATCAGACTCCATGCCAGGTACCCCAGGTACCAGAGAACCACACTGGGAAGATGAGTTCCCATAACATTTGGCTCTGATAACCACTGCAGCTTAACTTTGAAAGCTGTTAAAATCAGCAGGGTTTAACTCCAGGTACTTTAAAAATCAGCAGGCTTAGCTCTGGAAGCGCTGGAGGGCAATGGAAAACCATCCCTGCCCTAAAGTAATCTAAAATAAATAACCTATAATAAATATTCCAGCGAAGCAGCAATTTGAAAAGTACCTATGGTATACATGGAAAGAAACTGATTTACTAATCACAGAACACATGCTGGAGGGGCAGGAATCTTCAGTAAACTCCAAGAACAAAAGTATGGGCAGGCACCACTTCATTTCATCTCCCCAGCCTGAAGAGCCTGACGTGTGGAAACCTGTGCAAACCTTCTCCACCTATTTTGCTAGCACTGCATACCCTCATGCTTACATTCAGCTGCAGACCCACCCCATACAGTTGCCACCCCCCAACTTGTAGGTGTCCCTCAAAAGCGGCTCCAGCCCAGCACATCCTACAAGCAGCCCCAAAGTGACAACTCCTTGGGTGGAAGGGAAGATAACCCAACCCCACACACCAGCACACCGAGTTACAGCAGCCAAATCTTTTAGCTGGCCACCAAGGGAGAGTGCCCTGCAGATGGTATGCCTGTTACTAAAGCAGACAAACTGGGTACAGACATGTAGTCTGATTGTCCACCTCTCCCACCAATAAAAGCCTCTCAGGAAGCCATGCAAGGGAGAGTGCCCTGCCCTCTGGTGTACCCATCGCTGGAGCAAACTGGATGTCAACACCTCCCACATACAAGCATGCAGTGGCCTCAGGCCCCTCAATAGTGCAGGACCAAACCTGCCATGATGTGCCCACAGCAGGCAAAATAAAATAGGTCACTGTAGACTACTGGGCTGAAGGCACACGTGACTCAGCCACAACAGTAGGGTGCACACAGCCCACAGATGAGACACCCCTGGATGCCTGGTTCTGATGACCAGGGGGTATTGGGCAGGGCACTACAGAACCTTTTCTCCACAAAGCCACTATTTTCAAGACCAGGAGACAGAGTTGACCTTCCTAATACACAGAAACAGAGTCAGATAAAATGAGGGGACAGAGGAATATGTCCCAAATGAAAGAACAAGAAAAAAATCGCAGCAAAAAAATTAAATGATATGGGAATAAGCACTATGCCTGCTGAAGAATTAAAAGTAATGGTCATAAAGATACTCACTGGACTTGAGGGGGGGAAAAAAGTAGATCTCAGATCTTCAACAAAGAGATAGAAAATATATAAAAAAAAAAATCACAAAGAACTCAAAAATGGAAAAAACAAAAACACACCATAGTGAATCAACAATAGACAGAGGATGAACAAGAACAGAAGACTGGGTAATGGAAAGCAACCAAGCTGGACAGCAAAAAAGAAAAAAAAAAAAGATAAGGAAATTCAGTGATACCATCAAGCATAATAACATTAGTGTTATAAGGATCTCAGTAAGAGAAGAGAGTAAGAAGTAGCAGAAAACTGGGGGAAAGAAACACATCCATATCCAGGAGGCAGAGACCCTCCAACAAGACGAATTCATGGAGGTCTATACTCCCTACATTGTTATTTTTTGCCACATTAATTATTTATTAAGAGAATTTTAAAAGCAGCAAGAGAAAAAGAGTTACATACAAGGGAAACCTCATAAGGCTGTCACCGGATCTCAGGAGAAACTGTGACTATATCATGACACCATCTTCTGGCCTGCAAAGTGCTTAAAGGAAAAAACTTGCAACCAGAACACTCTATCCAGCAAGATAATCATTCAGAATAGGAGAGATAAAGAGTTTCCCAAACAAAAGTTAAAGGAGTTCATTACCACTAACCCAGCCTTACACAAAATGTTGAAGGCAATTTTCTGAGTGGAAAATAAAAGGCCCTAACATTAAGACAATTATGAAAGGAAGAAATTTCACAAATGCAAACATAATAAAGGTAGGTAAATCTCTTATAATACCAGCATGTAGGCAAAAACACAAAAGCAGTAAAATGAATTATATGTTCAAAAATGAGTCAAGTATACACAAAATAAAATTATCTAAAATGTGACATTCATAAAATACGGGTAGGGGAGTAACTAGTGTTTTTAGAATGTGAACTTAAGTGACCATCAACTTCATATAGACTGCTATACCCACAAGATGTTATATATGAACCTAATGGTAACTACAAATAAAAAACCTACAATAGATAAACACACAAAAAAGAGAAAGAAATCAAAGCATAACACTAAAAAGCCATCAAACCACAAGAGAAGACAGCAAGAGAAGGAACAGAGAAAAATAACCAGAAAATAAGTCACAAGATGACAGTAAGTACTTACTTTATAAATAATTAAAGGTAAAAAACCAGAATGCTACAATCAAAAGATACAGGGTGACTAAACACATTAAAAAACAAGACCTATCCATGTGCTGCCTGTAAGAGGCTCATTTTAGACCTAAAGACATAGACATACTTAATGGATGAAAAAAGATTCCATGCAAACAGAAGTGAAACAAAAAGCCACAGTATCAATATTCAGATCACACGAAATTGTCTTTTGTTAGTCTTTATTTTAAAGTCTAAGAAGGGCATTATATAATGATAAAGGAACAATCTAAAAAGAGGATATAACAATTATAAATATCTATGCACTTAACACTGGAGCATCCAAATACTTAAAGCAACTACTAACAGACATAAAGGGAGAAATTGACAATAATACAATAATGGTAGGGGACTTTAACACAGTACTTACATCAACGTATAGACCATCCAGAGAAAATTAACAGGGAACAGTATCTTTGAACAACACATTAGGCCAAAGGACAAAAAACATATAAATATATACAAAAAATATACACAAAGGACATAAAAAGATCTACACAAAACATTCCATCTAAAAACAGCAGAATATATGTTCTTTTAAGTGCACATAGAACATTCTCCAGAACAGATCACATGTTAGGCCACAAAACAGATCTCAATAAAATCAAGAAGACTGAAATCCTATCAAGCATCTTTTCTGACCACAATGGAAATCAATTACAAGAAGCAATCTGGAAAGAACACAAATTCACAGAGGCTAAACAACATGCCACTAAACAACCAATGGGTCAACCAAGAAAGCAAAGAGTATAAAATCTATGAAGAT